GAGAATAAAAAAAAGATATAATCATTCTATATTGATATCATCATGTCATTTATGGTTGAACTAGAATTCTAGCATAAGTTTTTTCTATTGCAACTTTCATAGCATTTGGTAAGTCTGATAAATCATATGTAGGTCCCATGATTTGTTCATACGGATATTTTTCAATTGTTTTTATAAGAAAATCAACAGCTTGATCAAGATGACGTGGAGCATAATTATGAATACCTTTAGAAATAGTAAAAATAAGAGGCTTAATTTTTAATTAAATTTCTTTTCTTTACCTTTTATCGTAAGACATTTACGAATAATCTGTTCACCAGTTATATGTAGCTCAGAATGTGGATGAACCATACCAAGAAAAAGATATAATCCACCTGGCTTCAATAATTTGATACCATCATTAATAACATTTGATACTCCACAAACCTATTATGACATATCTTTTTCTTTTTACACTTTCCTTTGGAAAGAAAAATAACACTTACTTCAACAACAACATCAATTTTATTTGCCTCTTCAATGAGTATTTCATCTAGGAAAAAAAATTACTTTATTAAAAATAACATAAAAATAACAAATCTTATCAAATTTACTCTTTTTACAAATTGCATAGCAAACAGCTACAAGATAATACACGTGACTAATGCAAGCGTAATCAATTTAAATCTCTTTCAGTGATTGAATTGATAAGCTTTTCTTCGAGCAAGAAACTAATATATATATATGTATATACATATATATATATAGATATAGATATGAGTGCAACAACAAGCAGAAGACAAGAAAATCAAGCAAAAATAGTAATGCATATATGGTAATATGTTTTTCTTTGTATCATACTTTGCCTGTCTAAAAGAATAGAAAAATTAAAAATTATAGTAATATTTTTATACGTGAACTTTTATTAAGTGTTATCCTCGAAGCGAATTTTTTTTAAACAGAAACATTCAAGACACATGAAATGGTTAGAATATTTTGAGATTGTAGTAGAAAGGTTATGATACAATTTTTTAGCTCGATAGCATGAAATTTTCGTGATACATTCATTGAACAAAGTTTAAAATAGCTACTTTAGTAATCTAAAAGTCCCTATGAGATTTCATTCTTGGTATTATTTTTTTTTCTTATATTTTAGTGAGCATGTCAGACTTCAGGGCCTGATAGAGTTCTTTTTTTTAGTTTCTTAATTTTTTGTTGAGGGAAAAAGATGACAACTTTCGTACCGCAAAATAAGCTTAAAAAATTGACATTTTTTGAAATTTGTTTTTGCGGTATTAGATCTGTGATTTTTTTCCTCAACAAAAAAAGTAAGAATGATAACATGAAGAATTTTCTCACACCCTATAGCTTGATATGCCCATTCAATTAAAAGAAAGATGAAATATATAGTACCGAGACTCACAGAGAATTTCACGTTGCCAAATGAACTATTATTGACTTTTGTTTGATGAATATCTCATGAAAACATTATAGCATCGACCTGAAAATTTTCATGCGATTTGAATATTCCTAATCTAGAGGCCATTTCGAGAAAACTTAAGTAAGATTCATTAAAATATGTTTTACCATTATAAATTGGTATTGCACCAAAACGAGTTATTAATTCTGACCGTTGACTATGTCTACCTGAGCAATAGACTGTGTCATATCCAAGTTCGCGAAGAGCTACTGAAGTATATAAACCAAGAATTCCATCACCCTATGAAACAATATTTAAAAAACGATCAATTATCAAAGCAAAAAATCTTCTGCAAATAATAATGGATGCAGGTTAAGAAAACGGCTAGAATAAGTCTTTATTTTATGAATTGTATGGTTCGATTTTTTTAATATTTTTACAAAACTTAAATATCAAAATAATCCAATAGATTTAATTGGTTTTTAATAAATCGAATTTTTGTTAAACACAATCTAACAAGAGTGTTCAAGTATACGGATAGAAATCTGAGTCTCCACAGACAACTTAACCATGCTTTTCTTCCATCAGAATCTGAGATAGGCTCAGCTATGGAACTAGTCTTCATAGGGATTATCATGAAAGAAGATTGAATTAAAGATATTAGTTTTTTGTTCTCTTTCGATACTCATAATGTCCTATGATAAATATCATCTTTCATCAAGGATATTTTATCGCACTATAGATCATGAACTGAAACATGTTACAGAATTTCTTGATTTACAATATATGCAAATACACCGTTTTCCACATTTTAATTCTATATGGATTGCGCTAATGGCTTGTGATACATGATAAAAAAAACCTTGATGAGTAAAACGTTTTTTCTTTGATAATGAAACTTTCGATCATTGACGACAAAAGTTTCAGCGAAACGACTGAAAGAAATTGTTTAGATATGCAAGTTTAGATATCCTTATCAAAATAATCCAACAGTATTGATTATATTGCTTATATTTTTGTTTTTTCTTTAATCTAACTATATTACATTTTATAAAAAGTACAAGAAACACAGAGTTCCATGATTGATTTATTTCATTGATGGTTAGTCAGAAATCATATTTAGGTTTGAACCATCGTTCGAAGTGAACCATTAGGTTTGTCTAACAAAACTTGAGTGTTAAAAGAAACATTTCTTTAAACTGATCAAAAAAACATACTCTACTAAACTGATCTGAAAAATCTGTTGAACTATACCGACTTGATAAATTCTCAATTTCTTACAACTCTGAATTGAAACAATTAGAAGTTTATGATGATCACTCTTGAGACACATAAAACTCCGTAAGAAGGAAAAGAGACATACTTCTATGCTTTTACATATGCCCACCTGCTCCTATACAATTTTGCACATGTCTTTTGCTACAGAGATAATAATTAGATATGGATCAACTTCAGCTCATAAGATCAGGTCAAATGAGCTAATGAACTCTTGAAACATTCTTTTTGAAAGAAAATGATTTGTGTGAGCAATTCTTTTGATAGAAACTGAGCCGTTTGAAATATTATAGTTCTGTTTAGGGAATAAAAAAAATTTAAGATAGCACATTTCCTTAGATCGAACTCATTAGCGAACTGTCATATCTCTAATAATAAGACTTTTACAATCAATCTTTTTCTGAAACACGATCTAAATTATGAGTGTTGAAGTATACAAGGTTGACATTTGTACTCCTACAGATCATGACAAGCGTTTTTGTTTTTGGGACCAAAACCCGTATATCCGTAGTCGCTCGTTATAATATGTAAACTATGTTTTTATTGCATTTCTGGAAGTAGCAGCGTAATCAGGAGATTGTGGATGGTAGAGCAATGCCATACAACCTTTGTGGTAATTCATGCAAGATAATATCAATGATGCTAATTATGACGTTGTTTCTTTGTTCCTGGTTATAGAGCGGATCCTGACCTAGCCCACCCTTGGCTATGCCACAATCTGAAGGGCTAAGTAAAAGGATGGTAAAAACGGGTCGCAAAATAGATAGAACAAAATAATCTTCTTATGATAAATAGGAGCAACTACGTCGTGTTTTTCACTTTAATTCCACATGAATTACGCTAACAACTTTCTTTAAAATATACATCATTTTCATTATGAAAATCTAATAAAGAAATAATATAAATAAAACTCATAAGAGAAGACAAAGTACTTAACCTCTTTTTACCACTGTTTGTTTTGCAGTGAGATACTCAAAAAAAAAAATAAATAACGTCAATTTATGTATTTGGAGTAGTGTAACAAATAGAAAAGAAAAGATAACATCCGAAAACAGAGAACTAGTACTATTATTTCTAAATATTTCAGGCGTACAGAAGTAATGCATTTTCCTCTGGAAATTCTGCCACCAGAAAAAAAATAATCTGTTTTCCATCTACTTTATAGCAAATATTTTTTCTACGAAGATCTATTTATAGTGAATATTCATTTTTAATGTTTATTAATTAATTCTTTGAACTGCAACTAAACATTTATTCTCAATCTCAAAGATCATCGTATACCTATCTTTTATTTACAAACAAAAAAAATCTATATACCTGAACAAAAGCTCGTCCATTTTTACTCTTTGGTACAAATTCCATAGCACACATTGTTGTACCTAATGAACAATTAATTGGTGCTGCACATCGATCAGATATAATATCAGGTATTTTTACAACATGAGTACCACTACGAATTATAATATGTGAAGCATAAGAACCATTAAAGCCTGAACCATCACTTAATTTTGCATGACCATACTATATTTAATTAAAAAAATTAATCAAATTTAAAATTAATATGAAAAGAAAAAGAACAATTGATTATAAACATACTTTAAATAATTTAGTACATTTTTGTTGAAGTCCTTTTAAACAAAATTCACATTTATCACAAGAATCAGCAATGGAAAATGTTAAACGATCGCCTTTCATTAAATCACTTTCAGGTCGACGATGCTCTATAACTTCAACAACAGCTTCATGACCAAGAACACTTAAAAATAAAGAAAACATTTGTTATAAATAATTAATCTACTTTGCTTTTTTTTTAAAACTCATAAACTACCTGGGTGTTGGTTCTATACGTTGACCTTTAACTGTATGTACATCACTTACACAAATCGATGCCAAACGAACCTTTACATAACGATAAATAAATAGAAAAAATAAATAAATAAAATCTTGTATCTAAGTAAATATTGAATTACTTTAACAAGTATTTCTCCAGGTGCAAGTTCCGGTAATGGAACTGTTTCTGACGAAAACATTACTTCTGAATTCAATCCATTAAAAACAATACGTTCACCTAACATCTGACTTTTATCTTGATCACAACACGTCATTTTTCTTTTGAATTTAATGTTCGATCGATTAGAATATTTTCTAGTTATTAATCAATAAACTAAACGTATTACATGATCAAACGATAGAGGTCATTATTTAAAGTATTTTATATATCAATGGTTTAGTTATGAACGAATCGAATAAGGATATTAGATTATTTGGTTGATATCCTTCAATCATTCATATCGGCATTGGTTATGCTGATATATATATGAATAAAATGAGCTATTTAAAAATTTATTTTCCAAATGGTTCTTTTCATACTTTACGATATACACCATCGACCACTATTGCTGTATGAAAATATATCAAAGAATGATTAGATTTTGTTTTTGATTAATTTTTGTTTTCTAGGATTTAATTCGAATAGTTTTAAAAGGTCGTCTTGCATCTTATGATTTTGTTTATTCTTTATCATTTGCTCTTCGTGTAACATATGTTGGACAAGAACAACAAATAGTTTTGTCATCATTAAATAAAAATGATATTGTGAATAAATGGCTTCATTCAAGTATGACTATGGAAAAAGTAAAAGTGTTTTATGGAAATGCTGATGAGTTAAAGTAAATCAATGAAGTACTTAGGTTATATTCAAATTAGTAACAACAACATTATAATATGTTATAGAAGGCTTGAAGATATTTCTTCTATATATATATATATATATGTTGATAGTTCAAACAGTGTTCGAGAAATCTATAATATTTCACTGTTCATTGAGTTTATATTCTAATATTAGAAATTCGATCAAAGCTATTTACCTCTAATTAGAGTTCTGTAAAGTCAAATTTTTTGACTCCAAGGAATTCCGGAAGTTTTTTTTCACTAGCAGATATAGTTTTTCTTATGTCATTTGCTAATGAGAATGCCTCTCATGACTTTTAATTCTTGAAACGTATTTATGAGTCAATGAAGTAGTGCATTTTTTTTTCATTACTTAACATATGAAGAACAAAGTCATTATTATATAAGGCTAAAAATATCTGACGTGACTCAGAAAAAAAATTCTTCATGGCCATTTCTACTTTAAGCTAGAATCGGAGTCCAATGCAGGACTCTACCTCTCCTTGAAGTCGATAAGGAAAAATTTTAATGCTACATTAAAATTCGTACTCATATATATATATATATTCAAGCAAGAGTTAGTTATGATGAACTATATTTTGCTTTCAGCGACCCCAGTTATCACCTCTCATGACAGTTGGAAGATAATTATTCATGGTTTCATGAAACACAAGAAGAGATGGAAGATGAAGAGTGATCTATCAAATCATTCATGATCATCTTCAAAGTCAGTCAATTTGATGTACAACAAGCGGTTATCGATTGAAGTTTACAATGATCGGAGATTATTCATTTGAGTGATGCCACAACTTAAATCCGTTCCCATCTATAATATAAGGATAATCATGAATAAGGCAACTCAGGTGATTTGAATCGAACAAAAGCCGTCGGTATACTAGCAATCAACTGCCGGTAGTTTGATTCTTAAACGATTGGCTGTTCTATGGTCACAGAATTCTATCACAGTAGTCCGAACAAACGTCGCATGGAAGTGAAAACTTCTCTTACTCATTTGAATCAGAGATGAACAGTTTCGATCGAACTTGAAGAATAGTGAAATATTATAGAATTTGTAAAGCACTGTTTGGACTCTTTGCATCGAGATATAATTGTTATAATGTTGCTATTTCTATGTTTGGTATACTCAGTAGTTATTTACATATTTGATAAAATTAACTAATTTAGATTTGAACTTCGTCTTCGATATTTTCCACCATCGATTGATGAATTAGCACATGATAAATCTACGTTTGGATTTTTGTATGAACAAGTATATTGATTAATTTTTTCACTCTAGTATTTTATATTTAAATAATTTAGCTTCGTATTGATTATATACGTATAAAATCTGATTGTGTATCAACAAATGAAGCTATTGAATTAGGTTCACTTGAAATACGTAAACTTTTTAAAGATCTTAATTCAACAACATTAGATAAAAAAGTTAATATGGATTATCTTGAAAAAGAACTTGGTTTAAAAACATTTTTTCCACAAGCAATTATTGATTCATATAAAGTTTGTTATTTTATTTTCAAAGAATATATTTTATATAGATTTATTCATTAGCCTCGAAATCTTCGAAAATATATTAAAGTATGTTTAAAAAAATATGAAGGTTTATCTGAAGAAGAATGTGCTAAACGGTTTTGTTTGTTACTTAAAAATATTTGGAATTGGGAACAAGAAATATTTACATGTAATCTTGGTGTAAGTAAACACCCAGTTTTTATCTCTCAAAACCGCGGGGTTTTTTTTTTTGGAGTACTCGAAAAACAAAAATCTATAATAGAATGCTTTGGGTGTGGCGATCAAAATTTTATTTACAGGCATACATTCAAGTAAACATGAAAAGAATACAAATAAAATAAGCATTGAGAAAAAATTATATTTGTATTTAAGTTTTTATTAGATACAACAAACATTAATCATATGCTCTATAGCATTAAAGCAATTGTTGGTTTGAAATGGATTTAAATAAAACAATTTGCTATGATATAGTTTAGTAACAGTAATAGAGTTAAATTCGATTGAAAAAGTATAATCAACGGATTCTAACAACACTCTAAATTTTCCTATTCCTTTCTATTGCACAGATCAAAGGTACAAAAATATTATTCTATATCCAACTGTAGAAAAGATTCGCCCGAAGTTGTTCCAAATCACAAATACACAAATCGAAATTCTAAATAGAAAAACTGTTAGTGCAATCTCTACTCGATTCAAAAAGCGAAGCACGAGAAAGCTGTCATTTATATTCCCAAGGAGAACATTGTCAATGAACCCGTCATGGTCCTTGATCAGTTAACAAAGTGTCTGTCACGATGTATGATTAATTATCAAGATGTCCTTCAATGTCTATGATAGATTGATAAAGTATCCGTCACAGCCTGCAAGGGATTGGATCCAAATTTCTAACTCTATACTTTAATGCTCCTTTTAATTAGATCATGTTTGACAAAAATAACTAAGCTTCTCGATATGAACGAATACACAGCAAATGAATATAAAGAAAATTATAGTTACTTTCCAATATAGAAATTCGTATTTTATTATTATTTTTTTGATCTAGGCTGAATGGTCAGTACCCATTAGTTTGGTTCTTGGTCCATCAGCGGGTATCAGTTATCGAACACAGAATTCCACGGAAGTAAGTTTATGTATATTATTATCTCTAAATTCTTTATATCCTAAAAATAGTTAACTAAAATGACTACATTTGAAAATGTTTTATCAATATCAACAACAAAAGTTAATTCAGATGATCGTGGTCTTCTAAAACTGATCATAGCTGGATCATCTGAGGTTAGAATTTTCTTTTAATCTTTGCTATGAAACAAACAATATTATTGTTTAGACTTTAACATTTAGTTTTCCATCTTTTTCTGAAACTAATGATGTAGCTATTTTGCTTGATGGTTATTGTATGCTTGCCAATCGAAGTACACATTCTCTTTGGCGATCAATTATTGATGAACATAATTCCTTAATAAGAAAAGCCACATCACCATCAAATCATTCCGTATCATATTCTTCAGATTATATGTATAGCCATCATCAAAGTAAAAGACATACATTTCTAAAGTTATTAATAATTAATGTCATTTTCTTGTAGCTGATGATGATGATGATGATGATTCGAGTGGCGATTATGCTGATGTATTATCTTCTGACTATCAAATCGATCGTCAACAAATTCAAGTGATTGAATTACTTGGTGATGGTCAATTTGGTGAAGTCTATCAAGGAATACTTAAAGTAAAAATCCATTATTTATTTTGTTAATTATAATTTGAGTTTTTTTGTTTTTTCTTATCTTAGACTGATCAACAATCAGAAATCAATGTTGCAATAAAAACATGTAAAATGCAAGATGCAACAACAACCGAAACATTTTTAGATGAAGCATGTAAGAAATTTCTTTTTTGAATTACTGCATTATAAAAGATGTTACAAAAGTAGTTCAGTAGTCTTTATTTTACGAATAAGTTCCGATAGAAATAAATTAAAGAGCTACAGGTTTCACCATTCAAAAGGGATCGTGTCATTACGCACTATTTCATGTATAATTCAACAATATTGGTTGATGATAATCGATTCGTCATTCGATGGTCTTACAAAAAAATACCGATAACTCTAGGAAAATGACACATGAGTTTAATTCTAAACTTATGGTCTCTGTCAAAAAAGAAATCTAGTTTTGAGAGTGGTACTGTATTGTCCATAACATCAAGACGTGTTTTCTCGAATAAAACTTCTATAGCAACTTCATAGAATTATCATTATTTTTCTGAAATATATATTGATTGAAAATTTGACTATCTCAATAGACGTTATTGAATCATTCATAGAACAACGAAATTGCACAGTCTCTTTCGAACGGTGAAAACTACAGTTGTCTATCTTGTTCTTATCAAAATTTACTCGTATTCAAAGACTACCGGATGATTTTTGGATCATTCTGTATTAGTTTTAATTCATTTATTTTTTACAGATGTTATGCAAACATTTGCTCATCCACATATCATTAAATTAATTGGAGTTTGTACTGAAAAACCTGTTTTACTTATTATGGAATTAGCACGATTAGGCGAGGTTGTTCGAAGAAAATTTTTATTATATATAAATATAACCTAATTAATATATTTATTTATTTTTTTCTTTTAGTTACGTGCTTATTTAGTTGCTAATCGAAATGATTTTGATTTATTAACATTGGTGCTCTATTGTGTACAATTATCTTCAGCATTAGCTTATCTTGAATCAAAAAAATTTGTTCATCGGTAGAAAAATTTCAAAAAAATAATCGAAAAAAAGAAAACAATTTTATTTAATAGTGATATTGCTGCAAGAAATGTTCTTGTATCAAACCATGAATTAGTAAAATTAGCTGATTTTGGTCTTTCAAGACAATTAACACTTGATAATTCATATTATAAAGGTTATTCTAAAGAATAAAAAAAAGAAAAAACTTTCTATTTTTTTTGTTTTCTCATAGCATCAAAAGGTAAATTACCAATCAAATGGATGGCACCAGAATCAATAAATTTTCGTCGTTTTACTCATTTATCTGATGTATGGATGTTTGGTGTTTGCATGTGGGAAATTTTAACAATGGGTAAAAAACCATTTCAAGGTATTACTAATGCAGATGTTATTGATCAAATTGAAACTGGTCTACGATTACCATTACCTGGTACTAATTGTCCGAAATCTTTATATGATTTAATGCAAGAATGTTGGTCATATGAACCAACAACTCGACCAAATTTTACTCAAATTGAAACACGTTTAAAATCAATTTTGAATCAAGTAAAAACAAGTATTCACGTGAAAACTGAAAATGTTTCTTTATCATCATCATCATCATCATCAGAAATAACATCATTAACAATATTATTACCAGCCGATTATAATGTACCACCTAAACCAGCTTTATCTAGTAAAAATGGATTTATTGGTAATCGATTACAAAGTTAGTTAACAAAAGAAATCTCTTTCATCATATTTATTCCTTTATTTAGTCAATAATAACCAGATCATGACAGGAAAAAGCCAATCTAGTCATAATCTTCAACATAGTACTAGTACTGAACAGAAAGTAAGTGTTAATCAGAGTTAGAACCGATTTGTTTCCTTTTTCTTGAAACCATACTAAACCGACTCGAAACTTATAGACAAGTTAACAGATGTATTATAACCTGTGTGTATAAAGTGTCCACTATACGTTGGTGCTCCCTATGAAAGATTTAATTGTATAGATTAAGAATTTATTTTCTGGCTTAAAATTAAATCATTCAAAATAAGTCTTTAACGAAAGTCCAAATTGTGCTTGTACATAATTTCTTCATGAAATTGACTTTCGTAGTCTGATGAAAACTATCTCAATCCAAACTGAAAGAATTTTTATACATTAAGTTATAGAGCAAGCCTTGCTCTACAACATGACCAATTCTTTTCTCTTTTTGTATATTGCGACAAATTCGAAAATACCAATGTTCGAACAGAGTGTACCCGGTCAGACAAGTGTTGAAAAAAACCGGCGTTTTTTACGCGTTAAAAAACGTCTTTTTCTTCGAATCAAATGATTTCCACAACTTGGACATTCACAAGCTTTCTTTATTTTAAAAAAAATCAAATTGCATAAAACGATAAAATGTGCGCTTTTTACGCGTAAACACGCCGTTTTTTTGCAACGCTTGTCTGATTGGGTATAGGCTTCGATGCTTTTTGAATTCTAATTTACTGTTATATATGATTTAATATAAAATTAAATTTTGTGCAACAATAGAAAGTGAAAACTATTCGAAAAACTCATTCTGAAAAGTTGTGAATCATATAAAAAAAGCCTATTTTGTTTAGTACAAACAACATTTTTCATTCATTTAAATATTTGCAAACAGCAAACCAATCTTAAGTCAGTAAAAAATTCAAAAGATCGATTAAGGAACAGTATCGAATTCTGATTCTCTCTGACTGTTTTTGAACTTTTTCACTTACATCAAGATCTTGAAAACATAAGCAAATATAGTTAGCAATGCCTTTAAAATAAGTATTTTGTACAAACTTCCATTTCGACCGCCATCAAATTTTTTTATTCTCATTGGGCTTTCAGCTAGAAAAAATGTTTTTTGACATATAATTCATTTTTCAAATGTAAAAGTTGACTTTTTAAGCTCCTTTAATTAAAAGAGTAGCCGATTCAATGTTTGCTGAATGGAAGTAAACACATCTTCTGAAATTTTTGTTCGCTTAGTTAATAGAGAATAAGCGTGCAACTGTACATTTAATATAATATAACCAACTAGAGACCCCTGTGAAGGGTTGAACTCAAGGGGGAAAAGCGAGACTTCTGGAGCGCGTACTCCCGCTGTACTATCCTGTTCTTCCACTGTACCCCCTGTACCTCCTCTGTGCTCCCATGTACTTCCACTGTACTCCCCTGTACTTCCACTGTACTCCCCTGTACCTCCAC